AAATTATAACTGTATAGAAAACAAAATTGTTTGCTGATGGTAAAAGATAATATGAAGTCCAGCCAATAATGATACCAAAAATCATATTCTGGCTGGGCGCAATGGCTCACACCTGTAATCCCAGCATTTTGGGAGGCTGAGGTGGGTGAATCACTTGAGGTCAGGAGTTTGAGACCAGCCTGGTCAACATGGTGGAACCCTGTCTCTAGTAAAAATACAAAATTAGCTGGGTGTGGTGGTGGGCGCTTGTAATCCCAGCTACTCAGGAGGCTGAGCCAGAAGAATCACTTGAATCTGGGAGGTGGAGATTACAGTGAGCCAAGATCATGCTACTGCACTCCAGCCTGGATGACAGAGGGAGACCCCGTGAAAAAAAAAAAAAAAAAGGAAATTATATTCTGAAGAGAAATCTGGATTGCTCTTACCAAAACAAAAATAAAACAAAGAATAAAAATTTAATAAACCCCCTTAGGTGGCTTTACTCATGAAATCTTTTTCAAGGTAAGTTTTCAGGTTTTGTTTTAAAAGACAGAGTCTCGGGCCGGGCGCGGTGGCTCAAGCCTGTAATCCCAGCACTTTGGGTGGCTGAGGCAGGTGGATCACGAGGTCAACATATCGAGGCCATCCTGGTCAACATGGTGAAACCCCGTCTCTACTAAAAATACAAAAAATTAGCTGGGCATGGTGGCGCGTGCCTGTAATCCCAGCTACTCAGGAGGCTGAGGCAGGAGAATTGCCTGATCCCAGGAGGCGGAGGTTGCGGTGAGCCGAGATCGCGCCATTGCACTCCAGCCTGGGTAACAAGAGCGAAACTCCGTCTCAAAAAAAAAAAAAAAAAAGGCAGTCTCACTTTGCCTTTTTTCAATATATCCTTTTCTGTTTAAACTGAGCCTTCCAGCTCTTTAAATTCAATCCTGTCGACTCCAAGGGAGAGTGCAGGCCCAGACTTTATCAGGCGGATCAGGAAATTGCTCCCTTTCTGTACTTTCCTGAAATAGCCAAAGATGGTGATTGAACCAAACGACAAAGAAACAATAATATTCCACCAAATTAAAACGTAAATGTGGACCGTCCTCCGCAGTTCTGTTTATGTTGTGCTTGCTTAATATCTACAAAGCACCATCGTATTGAAAGTGCTATCTCAGGACAAATAGCAATTTCTCGTCAGTTAGACACAAAGACAAAACAGAATGCTCTGGGCAAAGCTTGCTAGGAGCAGGTGACTTTTTGCCCATCAATAATAGACTGGATAAAGAAAATGTGGCACATATACACCATGGAATACTATGCAGCCATGAGAAAGAATGAGTTCATGTCCTTTGCAAGGACATGGATGAAGCTGGAAGCCATCATTCTCAGTAAACTAACACAAGAACAGAAAATCAAACACTGCATGTTCCCACGAATATGTGGGAGTTGAACAATGAGAACACATGGACACAGGGAGGGGAACATCACACACTGGGGCCTGTCAGAGGTTGGTGGGCAAGAGGAGAGAGAACATTGGGACAAACACCTAATGCATGTGGGGCTTAAAACCTAGGTGACAGGTTGATAGGTGCAGCAAACCACAGTGGCATATGTACACCTATGTAACAAACCTGCACGTTCTGCACATGTATCCCAGAGCAAAAAGTAAAATAAAAATAATTTTTTTTTGAAAAGGTGACTTTTGCTCCCACCACAGGATACGAAGTCCCTGGGTAAGACATTTGATGCCAGGGGTCCCTAGGAGCCTACAGACATAATAGGCCACTGGCTTGCAGCATTAAGGGAGAGAGGGTCCTTGCAGCATAGTGACTTCGTGTGGGAGGAGCTACCATTTTCAGTAGAGGGAACAATGGTGATTGTGGCTCGAAGTGGAAGGTAACATACTAGGGAGTCTCTGCCAGGGAGAAGTGTCCCAACCTCATTTCCCCACAAGAGAAGAGAGTATCTGGCTATCTTTGTTCATTAATCTTTAAGGCCTACAGGGGCAATGTCTGCAATGTCCATGTTTGCAGCTGGTGCCAGGGTAGGAATGCAGAGAAAGAAGACGTCGGAACACAGCACTAGCTGTTTGATGGTGAGCAGAAGCACAGGTGATAAAGGGGGACTTTGAAGGCAAAGGCTGGCATGAGATTGTCTTATTTTACTTTATCGGTTCTCACTAGAAACTCCCAGACATCACAGAAAAACAAATTTCAAAAAAAAAAATTTGGCAAAAACAAAAGAATGTTTGCTTTTTCCTACATCCTACTCTTTGAAGTTTGACAAAGAGGGAGGTGGCCCCAGATAAAGTTGGGGTCAAACTGTGCCTTGAAGTTGCCGAGTTAAGACCCAGTGCAGGACTTGGAAGGGCAGAAGTTGATGCTTAAATGCTTTTTAAAATTTATTTTTGGCAGGGTGCAGTGGTTCACGCCTGTAATCCCTGCACTTTGGGAGGCCAAGGCAGGTGGATCACCTGAGGTTAGGAGTTTGAGACCAGCCTGACCAATGTGGAGAAACCCCATCTCCACTAAAAATGCAAAAAAAAAAAATTTAATTTTTGTATTTTTTGTAGAGATGGGGGTCTCACTATGTTGCTCAGGCTGGTCTCTAACTTCTGGCCTCAAGCAATCCTCCTCCCTTGGCCTCCCAAAACGCTGGGATTACAGGCATGAGTTTTCATACCAGTCCCATCATTTGGGACTTGTCCTGGGATTTTTTTTTTTTTTCTGAGATGAGTCTTGCTCTGTCACCATAGCTGGAGTGCAGCGATTCAATCTCGGCTCACTGCAACCTCTGTCTCCCGGGTTCAAGCAATTCTCCTACCTCAGCCAACCAAGTAGCTGGGATTACAGGTGGATACCACCACAGCCGGCTAATCTTTGTATTTTTAGAAGAGACAGTTTCACCACGCTGGCCAGGCTGGAGGCTGGTGTTGAACTCCTGACCTTGTGATCCACTTGCCTCAGCCTCTCAAAGTGCTGGGATTACAGGAGTGAGCCACCGCCCCCGGCTTGTCCTGGGATTCTAACAAAAGGCATTGAGTTGAGTTGAGAAGGATCCTGTCCTCTAAACTACTCTACATTATGCCACCCTTCTCCCTTCCTCTCCACCCTTCAGGGATCTCAACAAAGGCTGTGTGTCAAGGACATTGGGACAAAGGTCTATTCACCAGTGGAGTGGAACAGAGAGCAATCTAGACATTTGCATGAGTAAAGGAAATAATTGTTTGTGTGAATTTTTAACATTTCAAGTCTGTGCTGCCACACAGAAAATCTCACTGCTGTCCCTTAGTTCTCAAACTTGAAGGATTTAAGAAGCAACATGCTTTTATATTTTCATTCCTCTGTTACTGTACATTTCAACATCTGTCATTTTCAATTTGATCCCACTAATTTAAAGCAGTGAATTTATAAAAATGCCTAAATAATTATAATTTTTTTATTCTCTAAGATTTTATTATTCATCAAGGCCAGACTCGCTTTTTATTCCTTAGTTCTTGTATTTCCCCAAACTTTGACAAGGCAAAGACCCTGCCTCTAAAAATAAAAATAAAATAAATAAATAATAGTAAAATAAAATTTAAAAATAATGCAACTCACAGATGTTGGCTATGCTAATTACCCTAATCTGATCACCATACCTTATATGTATGGAAATATCACTATATAACCTATGAAATATACAATTACTGTTTGTCAATTAAAAATAAAATTAAAAAAGGAAATAGTTGATATGCTCAAAGGAAAAGAAAAGAATGCAATTCACAACACAAAGATATAACTCCAAGAGATGCTATAGAGAACCACCATAAGAGTAGCCCTTCATTTTTCCCTAGGCTTAGACATGACCACACGTGGCCCAGCACGTTCTCTGAAAGGCAGCTAATAAAATGAAAATACTTGCCGTTTCACAGGACCCAGAAGTGTTTGGTTGAGGTCCTTAGGGACCCATCTGCCTGATTCAGTCAGGTCCAACCACAGATCCCTGCATTACTCTTGGGTTTGTGCCCCATATATGGAGTTATTTGCTGCTTCTTAGCAGAAGAGATCCAGCTCAGGGTATTGTCCAAAAGACAACCAGGATGGCTCAGTAGTAGAAAGGAGAGCTTTATTGTCAGTATCAGTTTGCAAAATGAGAAGAAACAATCTCTGATGTGTGACATCACATCAGATGATGACTCTTTCAAAACAGCAGGGCAGGTGGGATTTTTTGCTTCACAGGACATACATATTCAGCAATTTTAAGGGGAAACCATACATATTTATGAGGGGAGCTGAATGTGTGTGCAATGGGTAAAGATGCCTGTAACATACATCTCGTGTTCACTTTGGGGCAGGCTTTTAGTATTAAAATGAGATGAAATTGGCTGGGCACAGTGGTTCATGCCTGTAATCCCAGCACTTTGCAAGGCCAAGGTGGGCGGATCATGAGGTCAGGAGTTCGAGACCAGCCTGGCCAACATGGTGAAACCCTGTCTCTACTGAAAATACAAAATTTAGCCAGACATGATGGCACATGCCTGTAATCCCAACTACTGGGAAGACTGAGGTAGGAGAGTCGCTTGAACCCAGGAGGTAGAGACTGCAGTGAGCCAAGATAGTGCCACTGCACTCCAGCCTGGGTGACAGAGCAAGACTCCATCTCAAAGTAAATACATAAATAAATAAAAATAAATAAAATTAGGCAGAATTTGGCTCTTTATGTCAAAAGGTGAACCAAAGGACACAAAGACAGTTTGTATGCAGCCTCTATAAGTTGCTAAAACTGGCTTAAGATCTGCAATTGTCAGAAAGGAATGTTGGTAAGGCCGGTCTTCTGTCCAACAGAGTTGTATTCGTCTGGGTTGTAAATCAGTTAGGAGGAGTCCGAGCTCCTATTGCCAGGAAGCTTAGAGCTGTAGGAATTTAGAAATTTGCCATGCCAGCCAGCCCAAACCCTTGATTCATAGGTAACTTTGTTTCCTTAACCTTAGAATCCATTTTAGTGATGAAACGGTGTCTGTTTTGATCTCTCAGATCACAGTGGGCCCAAGTATGGCTGAAGAGCTGAAGCTAGCCTGTCCATCCCTAGCAGGTTTCAATCCCGCCTTCTTCCTTAAGAACAATTTTTTGGAGCAGGAATCCGCAACCAGGAACAGAGCCCTTTGCTCCTCCCTCAGAATGAATGGAGACCAGAAATCAGATGTTTATGCCCAAGAAAAGCAGGATTTCGTTCAGCACTTCTCCCAGATCGTTAGGGTGCTGACTGAGGATGAGATGGGGCACCCAGAGACAGGAGATGCTCTTGCCCAGCTCAAGGAGGTCCTGGAGTATAACGCCATTGGAGGCAAGTATCACCGGGGTTTGACGGTGCTAGTAGCATTCCGGGAGCTGGCGGAGCCAAGGAAACAGGATGCTGATAGTCTCCAGCGGGCCCTGACTGTGGGCTGGTGTGTGGAACTGCTGCAAGCTTTCTTCCTGGTGACAGATGACATCATGGATTCATCCCTCACCCACCGGGGACAGATCTGCTGGTATCAGAAGCCAGGTGTGGGTCTGGATGCCATCAATGACGCTGTCCTTCTGGAAGCATGTGTCTACCGCCCGCTGAAGCTCTACTGCCGGGAGCAGCCCTATTACCTGAACCTGATTGAGCTCTTCCTGCAGAATTCCTATCAGACTGAGATTGGGCAGACCCTGGACCTCATCACAGCCCCTCAGGACAATGTGGATCTCGACAGATTCACTGAAAAGAGGTACAAATCCATTGTCAAGTACAAGACGGCTTTCTACTCCTTTTACCTTCCTGTAGCTGCAGCCATGTACATGGCAGGAATTGATGGCGAGAAGGAGCATGCCAATGCCAAGAAGATCCTGCTGGAGATGGGAGAGTTCTTTCAGATTCAGGATGATTACCTTGACCTCTTTGGGGACCCTAGTGTGACTGGCAAAGTTGGCACTGACATCCAGGACAACAAATGCAGCTGGCTGGTGGTCCAGTGTCTGCAATGGTCCACTCCGGAACAGCGCCAGATCCTGAAGGAAAATTACGGGCAGAAGGAGGCTGAGAAGGTGGCCAGGGTGAAGGCATTATATGAGGAGCTGGATCTGCCGGCTGTGTTCTCGAAGTATGAGGAAGACAGTTACAACCACATTATGGCTCTGATTGAACAGTACGCAGCACCCCTGCCCCCAGCTATCTTTCTGGGGCTTGCGCGCAAAATCTACAAGCGGAAAAAGTGACCTAGAGACTGCAAGGGCGGAGAGGAGGCTCTCAATAAATAAATTATTGTGTAAAAAAAAAAAAAAAAAGAAAAAGAACAATTTTTCAGGATTCGTCGCCTGTGCAGCCTTGTCTTTCCAGACTGCTTGCCTAAAAGAGCTATCATTGCAAGATAGCCTTAGAGGTGAGTTGAGCCCCTCCCAGACACTCAATATATTGGCCTGGTTTATTGTAGTTACTTCTAGGCCATCAGCCTTATATTATGAATCCTCAAGGAATTTTTCCGCCTTCTCCTCCTTGTAGTCAACCATCCAGGCCTTCCTATGTGATTGGTGAGTAGTTTTCAATCACTTATGGTCCTTATAAACACATCACTTTGTATTTGCAGGGTTGTCTCCCCAGATACATTCTAAGCCGCTTATGAGAAGGAACTTCGTATGTGTCCTTTATACCTTTCTATTACATCTTGCACAGCACTGCATACATTTGATGCCCAGTGAAGGGGACATGTCTTTCCAGTGGAAGAAGATATGGGATAGATAAAGTATGAAATAAAAGTTTCCTAGGCCAGGTGCGGTGGCTCATGCCTGTAATCCTGGCACTTTGGGAAGCCAAGGCTGGCAGATCACTTGAGGTCAGGAGTTCAAGACTAGCCGGGCAAACATGGTGAAACCCTGTCTCTACTAAAAATAAAAATAAAAAAAATTAGCCAGGCATGGTGGTGGTCACTTGCAATCCCAGCTACTCAGGAGGCTGAGGCAGGAGAATTTCTTGAACCAAGAAGGCAAAGGTTGCAGTGAGCTGAGATTGCACCATTGCACTCCAGCCTAGGTGACAAAAAAGAAAAAATGTTTTCTAATAGTTAAAAAGCAGAGAGAGCTAGAAAGGGAAATTAGGAAAGGGGAGGAAACAGTAATAAAAAGAAAAGAGGCCGGGCGCGGTGGCTCACACCTGTAATCCCAGCACTTTGGGAGGCCGAGGCGGGTGGATCACGAGGTCAAGAGATCGAGACCATCCTGGTCAACATGGTGAAACCCCGTCACTACTAAAAATACAAAAAATTAGCTGGGCATGGTGGCGCGTGCCTGTAATCCCAGCTACTCAGGAGGCTGAGGTAGGAGAATTGCCTGAACCCAGGAGACGGAGGTTGCGGTGAGCCGAGATCAGGCCATTGCACTCCAGCCTGGGTAACAAGAGCGAAACTCCGTCTCAAAAAAAAAAAAAAAAGAAAAAGAAAAGAGAAGAATACCCCTTTGTTCCTTAGGCTGCTAGCATTCTTTCTCATCTGAGAGTTAATGTTGAATCTGCTAAGTGCTGTATCATAATAAAATGTCCAAGGGGTGTGTATTTTATAGTCCATCATCAAAGGCATTTAATGTTTAGCCCCACTTTGATTTCTATGTGAATGTTGACTCAAAGGTCCCCCTTTTCACTATGGCGGGAAACTCAACGTTGTTCTTGAGTAAGAATTGAATCATTCTTATTCAACACATGTTATTTTCAACACAGTATGGCATGGGGGCATTTATGGGATAGTTCCTCAGTATATCTCATTTCTGTAAACTTATTTTTCTTTCTTTTCTTTCTTTCTTTCTTTTTTTTTTTTTTTTTTGAGACAGCATTACTCTCTGTCACCCAGGCTGGCGTGCATTGGCATGATCTCAGCTCACTGTAGCCTCCACCTCCTGTGCTCTCAGGCCATCTCCCACCTCAGCCTACTGAGTAGCTGGGACTACAGGTGTGTGCCACCATGCCCGGCTTATTTTTAAATTTTTGTACAGACAGAGTCTTGCTATGTTGCCCAGCCTAGTCTTGAACTCCTGGGCTCAAGCAATCCACCTGCTTTGGCCTTCTAAAGTGTTGGGACTACAGGCATGACTGCTACACCCAGACCCTAGGATAATTTTAATAAAAGCAATAAGGATATAGAAAATACTTTCCCCCATCATGAAATAAAAAGTAGACACTCATTGCTATTATTTCATAATTGCTATCAACTCCTTGCTATTAAATTCAATTTGACAGTCTATGTTGCAGTAGAGTTCTCATAACTAACGTAATAGCTCTTCACTTTGTCCCTACATATCAAGTGTTGTCTATTATGATTTCAACCATTCATATGCTAAAATGCAAAGTGTCCTGTTAAATGCAGAGTCATTTATAAAATCAGTACAGTAACTTAGACAATTGAAATTGATCTCCATTGCTTAAACTCGGGAGGCAGAGGTTGTGGTGAGCTGAAATCATGCCATTGCACTCTAGTCTGGGTGACAGAGCAAGACTCCGTCTCAAAAAAAAAAAAGAAAAGAAAGTGATGATCTCCTCTATGTAACACCAAAAGCAAGTAAAAGCATAGATACATTTCTCAGGAGGAGGTAGTGAAAAACAGGGCTGGTTTCCTCTTCCTGTCAGTTCTGAAGCACCAGTCCTTGGCATCCGCTCAGAACCTGGCTGCATGCTCTGGATCAGAGTCAGTTATTTGTCACTGATATGGGTGTAAGGCTTGTCACCATTTATCCAGGATGTTTGACACATCCAACTCATTCAAGAATGCACTGGCAGAAATCAAAGGTTATCTGGGGCCAGGCACGGTGGTTCATGTCTGTACAGGAATTTGGGAGGCCGAGGTGGGTAGATCACCTGGGATGGGGAGTTCGAGACTAGCCTGGCCAACATGGCAAAACCCTGTCTCTACCAAAAATACAAAAACATTAGCTGGGCCTGGTGGCACATGCCTGTAGTCCCAGCTACCTGGGAGGCTGAGGCAGGAGAATCCCTTGAACCTGAGAGGCGGAGGTTGCAGTGAGCCAGGATTATGCTACTGCACTCTAGCCTAGGTGACAGAGCAAGACTCCACCTAAAAAAAGAAAATACATAAAACAAACAAACAAACAAAAAAGAAACCACAAAGATTATTTGGAATAACCCAGAAGAAAGTGAAACACTTGGAAATAATTTTTAACTTGAGAAAAATTCCTGTGTATCAAACATTCCAAATTACTATTATTTCACAGTGTAGTCAGATAAAGATTTTTTATGTGTCTCAATTTTACAAACATTCCATTTTTTAAGTGCAGAAAATGCCCGTTTTTATGCTGCTCATGGATAACAAGGGCATGCCCTAACGGCATGCAATGGAAACTATTGAAAAGTAAAAATTATGGAGCTGAGGAGATCACAGAAATAATATTAATTAAATACCTTGTTGTTATTTTATTTTTTTACTAACACAGACTACAACAGTGGTTCCAGTCCCGAGTCCAGAGGTGAGGGAAGGAACGCAGTTAGACAGCTCTACGAGGAAGTTTATCTGCAAATAGGAAAGTTATTTTACTGACATTTACAGATTTTTTTTTTTGAGACGGAGTTTCGCTCATTACCCAGGCTGGAGTGTAATGGCACAATCTCAGCTCACCGCAACCTCCACCTCCTGGGTTCAGACAGTTCTCCTGCCTCAACCTCCTGAGTAGCTGGGATTACAGGCACGCGCCACCATGCCCAGCTAATTTTTTGGATTTTTTTTTTTTTTTTTGCTGGGGGGTAGGGAGTGCTGGGGTGGGGTGGGTTTTTTGTTTTTGTTTTTGTTTTTGTTTTCGTTTTTTTTTTTTTGGGGGAAAATGAGTAAAAGGAGGGGAAAAAATGAAAAAGAGGGGAAAAGGAATATTACTTCATTCCTAAAATGGGTTTCAATAATGGCTGATCAATATTTTGAGTGTTTAAAGTGGTTAATGCATATTTTATGTGTTTAAAATGGAGATCTCTATTGTGTTTATTTGTTCTGGCTCTGAGTTCAAGTCCTGGATATCGTTATCAATTTGTTGTCTCGTTGAATCTAAATCTCATTATGTGTCTTAGGTATCTGGGTGTTAAGATCTCTTATTGTTGCATTAATCCTTTTACCCTTGCATCCTTGTAGCTTTGAAATCTATTTTATTAAGTGTGAGAATTGCAACTCCTGCTTTTTATTTATTTATTTTTGCTCTTCATTTGGTTGGTGAGTTTTTTTCCATCCCCTTGTTTTGAGTCTTTGTATATCTATAGATATATCGTTAGATTTTGTGGATAATGTATATTTTGTGTGTTTAAAATGGAGAGCTCTATTGAGTTTATTTGTTCTGGATCTTAGTTCCAGTCCCGGATATCGTTATCAATTTTCTGTCTCGTTGAATCTAAATCTCATTATGGGTCTTATGTATCTGGGTGTTAAGATCTCTTATTATTACATTAATCCTTTTACCCTTGTATCCTTGTAGCTTTGAAATCTATTTTGTCAAATGTGAAAATTGCAACTCCTGCTTTTTATTTATTTATTTTTGCTCTCCATTTGGTTGGTACGTTTTTTTTTTTCCAACCCTTTATTTTGAGTCTATGTATATCTTTGGATATACCGTTAGATTTTGTCTGTATCTTTTGATTGGGAGATTTGGTCGATTTAAATTTAGGGTTGCTGCCGTTTGATATTAACTGGCTATTTTGTCCTTTCGTTGATAAAAATTCTTCTTTATGTTAATGCTCTTTACTTTTTGGTGTATTTTTAGAAAGGGTCATACTGGTTGTTCCTTTCTGTGTATAATGCTTCTTTTAGAAGTTCTTGTAAAGCAGGCCTGGTGGTAATAAAATCTCTGAGTACTTGCTTGTTCCTAAAAGATTTTATTTTTCCTTCAAATGTAAAGCTTAAATTGGCAGGATATGAAATTCTGGGCTGAAAGTTCTGTTGATTAAGTATATTGAATATTGGCCCCCACTCTCTTCTAGCTTGTAGGGTTTCCGTTGAGAGATCTGCTGTAAGCCTAATAGGCTTACCTTTATGGGTAACTTGATCTTTCTCTCTGGCTGCCCTTAATATTTTCTCCTTCGTTTTGATCTTGGTGAATCTAACGATTATGTGCCTTGGGGTTGGTCTTCTTGAGGAATATCTTTGTGGTGTTCTCTGTACTGCCTGGGGTTGAATAGTGTCCTGCTTTGCTAAATTAGGAAAATTTTCCTGGATAATGTCCTGGAGAGTATTTTCCAGCTTGAATTCATTCTCTCCGTCACATTCAGGTACACCAATTAAGCGTATATTAGGTCTTTTCACATAGTCCCATATTGCTTGGAGAC